GTCATTAGGGGGGACATTGAAATGAGCGAGCCACTTACAGAAGCTTGGGACTGAAGTTTGAAGGAAAAGGGATCCTTAGGAGGACGTGAGCAACCTTTGGTCTCCCTGGCGTTTCTCCCCGGTCCTTGGCTTAGCCCTAGTGTCACACAAGCGGTTTTGGGATGCCTTGCTTTGAATCCCCCTCCCCCCCCCCCCTAAGGCCATGAGCATAATAAATCTCTCATAAAGTGCTGTCTAACCATTAGAACACTACTTGTGACGTTTCAAAGGACCGAATGTATACCATCAATGGAAAACTCACCACTCTGTGCTTTTTCGCTAAACTCTAGTACTTGAACCGCTTCCACTGAAGAGGCGCCGTCAAAGTCAAGAGTTTTAGGGAGATTTGAGAAAATGCGAACGTTTTTCGGTGTTTTCGCATCAGTACCCTGGAATGTCAATGGGTGCAAAAATAGAAAAGACAGTTGAAAACGAATTCTTCTAGATGATTCCATCCAGTGATATCATATCATGTTTAAACATACATGAACATGTCTGTTTGAGAAACGTAAGATCGCTTATTTTTTTACCAGAGCTTCTTATCATAATGGTTAGAAACACATTCATACTGATACTGAATTATATTATTTCTCCTGAAATCAGGAGCGGACGGAATATCCAGTAGCCCTTGAAGGGACGATCACAAAAACGAGGTCACCTTTATCATAATGGAATGAACTTTAACCGGCTGAGTGAATGGAAGAGATATGATAAGTTGCTCATCACAATCCGATCTGAGCACGTTCGAACCTGGAATTACAACCACATGTAATATATAAAGACCTAGAACTCATTTAATGACTTCAGGGAATCATGCCATTGCACCGAATTCCATTTTTAAAACGTTCTTGGAAACTAACCATGAGATTGCCACAGATGACGCGAGCCCATCTCTGGCTCTATCGCAAGATACGGGGCATCTTCTAGGACTAGTCGTAAGAAAAGCAGGAACTTCGGCGAATTGCTCACGCACCACAGAGTCTCTCCTTCCCCGTCTAAGGTTTAGTTCCGATTTCAGAATTCTAGCGAAGATGTTTTGCGCGGTTTTAAATGCACTGCATAGTAATGCCTCCGTATTTTGCGTTACGCCCGTGTATAACCGCACACGAACTTTCCTTGAAGGCATCCCCGACACATGTGTGGCTTTCTCCCACCAACATAGCCCCGATAATAGATCAGTGCGGAATGACGGTAGTAAAGAAAAAAAGAAAAAGAAATCACGTCGAACAAAACGCATCGAAGTGAGAGGCTCACCACTCCTAATTGGCGTTGTGCTAAGGGAATGAGAGACTAAGCGCGGAGAGGAGAGTATGGGGCGAGAGAGCGCTACAGATGAGAGATCGCCAGACAACAGTCTGATAAGAGAAAAAAGTCTGCAGCTTGGGCAGCTTACTTTGCAAGGCCCAAGCGCTCTTATCGGTTGGTTTCCGTGCACGAGAACGCCACATTTGTGATTGTCCTCTAGGGGTCTATACTACAGACCGAAGAGAAGCGTTCACACGACCTCTGGCCTGGTTTGCCTTTAAGCACGAATCCGCAAATCATTTAAAAGTTGGTTGGCCCGCACTACTACGAGCATCATCCTGTAGGCCTCAGTGAACTTATGAGACCACATACATCGCCTCCTCACACTCTTGAGTACCTTCAGTTCGAACACTATTTAGTGGCGAGTCTCCAAACACCTAGGACATTTCAATATTAAATTGATCTAGTGGTCGAACAAGCTAACCAATACCGCTATTGTTGACACTGTTATAGGAAAGAAATGCTTGAGTTAGGGCCTTTTTATAGTCAGTAGTCCGATAGTAACGATCGTAATGCCCACACGCATTCGATAAGTATCGACAGCCCACGGTCGGACGCGCTTCATGAATTTCCAGTCAAACACGGAACACACACAAGAATAGGGATTCTATTTTGAAAGAAAAAATTGATGAAACTGGGCCTCACCTTCCAGCAAACCTAATAACGGTGTGCTGTCGTCTCCGTTAAGGCACTCCATTTGCCTTTTGTCAATCAGGCTCGTGATGTCCGACTGTCCAGGAACGTCCCCTGCCGGTTGTGTATCAGCCCATTTCTGTACCATGGCCTCCAAACCAGATGTATTTGCACCTCGAAGGGTATCCACTTTTGCCCTACAGAGAGAAATTAACAGAGGATGTCACTGGCACAACAATGTCAAGGGGATATATAGCTGCCCTCTGAGAAAGAATAAAGCTGGTGTACTTTTCAAATATCCAAGTTTTCAAATAAAAGCCAGAAAATTCTTCAACACATCGCGCAGAAGCGGTGGCTAGACAGATCATCAACTCAACACTAACCCGTTCACAAACACGATGAAGGTTGGCATTGCCGAAACGCCGTTTTGTGCTGCTGTTTCTGAAACAAATGAACTTGAAGTCATATTATGACTGAGTCGAGAAAGCGGCAAACCTTCACACTTATCGACGTCGACCTTTAAAAAGACCATAGACAAATATTTGTTGGAGAGGCTTTCAAAAACTGGAGCAATCATTTTGCATGGCCCACACCTTAAATTTGAAAATACTGGTAAAGCCAAAATATGATAGGGTAATAAACACAGCTGATACAGAAACTCAGCCAAAACCTATGGCTAAAACATAAACATATATTCACGAGATTATGCTAGAGAGCAATCCTAAAAGAACGCTGTTCCCTTTGAAGCCTTCCGGGATGGTATTACCGATGTACTTCCATCAACGTGTATTCATACGGTGTGTGAAAAAAGGAGAACGAAAAAAAATGTTAAACAGACCATTCCGCAGAGAAATCCACCACCACAGGTTTCGCTCCAGCTTCTCCCATTGCAGCTTGGTAATCGGAATCATCCTGACAGACCCTGACCGGCATTGCACTTGAACAAAAACAAAATTGTGTAAGTGGGCATGCCAGTAATTTACAGCAATAGTACTGAACAATGTTTGAAGAAAATTGTAACCCATGGTCTTAGACCTCTCGTATAAAAATAGCAACCGGTGGGCAACCATCAATTGTTTAATATTCAATTTCGCATTCGTTTTAACCAAACGACAATCCAATGATTGATCCATTTCGATATGTGGACACCAGTTCAAAATGTAACGCCATTCATCTTCTCAGTAAAGAGCTACTGCTCTATCCACGATCGATGGTGGTCCAAGTAAGCTAACAAACGAGTGCTTGTTCAGCTGTCCCCGAGCTTCAGGGTGGGATGGCCGCTTTTGAAAACTCTGTTTCGTCTCTCCCCACAAGTCGCGATATAGCTCTTGCTGGAACATAGATCTGCGATCAAGCCTTGTGTTGAGCTCAGCAAGCCTGCAGTGAAGGCCTTCACTAACTAACTAGGTTTTTCAAAACGAGAATGAGTGACAATCATGAATCAGGAAGGTAACCCCGCGAATGTCATGAAGTGTTATGGAAGCCTAAGAGGTTGACGGTGAAGCCCTTCGGGAAGCACCCTGACTTCTTCCAATGACGAAAATGTAATTCATGTTGAAGAATTTTCGGGATTAGGCCGACGCTTGAGTATTCCTTTACTGGCCAACATGCTAAATCTTCAAAACAATTGTTTACGGGAATTTACCAATTTACGCATACAAACGCTTCCTACTCACAGTGCCTTAAACTCGCCTGGCTGGCGAAATCTAATGCCGATGTCAGACTACCAATGCAGGGGTCCACCCTTACGTCGTACGAGTAACAACAGAGGGATCGTACCTGGTTGAGTTTGTAGGAGGGGGGGGTCGTAAAAATTTTTCGAAAAGTAACAACGATAGGACAGACCCTGCTACGAATCCAGTGAATCGCGATGGTGAGTGGTACGAAGGAAAAATTATGAGAAACGGTCCAGAACCCGAAATGGAATCCCATCCTGCCCTTGATCCGCGATGCTACTTAGCATACATTATACGAAGTTATACGAGTTCCCTGCTATCTAATCAGTCGCCGCGAATAGACCTGCGGCGAGTGCTTAGATAGTCGGTGGGCGTATCGCCAAGAATGCGCCAAGAATGAGCCATGCTAGATCGCCGGATCAAATCTCTCACTGACAATTGCGTGTCAGTTTGCACTCGCAGGAGGTCCGCCTGTTTCTTCACAAGGCATTTCCCCTTCTTCGACCTTCGTTCTTATCGTGGAACTCTCTTTTAACACGGCTACGCTGTCTCAATAACAGGACATTCCCCACGTGATTACCGTGCAAGTTTTACTCTTCCACGTTGGAGCAATCCAAATAATAAATAAAGGACAAAGCATTTGCATGATCAACCCTTTTTTAGGATCGCACCGCATCTACTGTCCATTTGTACATTCTATGACGTTGAACGATCTGGCCTCATCGACTTCCAGACAATTGACCAATTAACGACGATCCGGAGGATTGAAGACTTGTTTGACCCATTGCACTCACGACCCAGATTTTGAAACCCGGACGCTTGCGTGTAACGTCCAAATACCACTGCACCACTTCCGCCTTCAATAAGGCCGGAACAGATGGTAGAACGACTTTGGACGCACTTCCTGAACAACGTTCAAGGATGCCTCCGCGAACATCAACTCCCAAAAATGAGTTTACAACATTTAAAAGAACTTTATAATGATAGGCATGTAGTTGCTACCCATTAATAGAGTTTCACAACATATATGATATTACTTTAATAACAGGTCTTGTATTTGGGCTGAGAGGACATCTCCTGCAGAACCGTAGATATGCTCAAAACAATTCAGCTGAGGTTCCAAGGTAATTAAAATAGCGAATCGTCCCCATTCCAAACATGTGCAAGTTCTTCTACAAGTCAATCCCAGACAATTTGCACCTGCATGCTGTATGCAATCTACTCAAGGGTCATTCATAGTATGTCATTCCAAGCTGACGAACGTAACGATCGCATCATCAGCATTAGGTAAGTATCGATCGTCCGATCGTCCAACACTACGACACGAATGGATACGATTACGATCGTACGACCGACTACGAATGCACCCTAAGCGATCTCCTATTATCATTTCAAAACGGACTATACATAAATCGAACAGCAAACTCTTGGTGCTGTGGTAGCTTCGCTGTTAACCATAAGCTCTTAACGGCAATATTGACAAGCGAAACCCTAATGAGGAAAAAAGGGCATGCTTACAGAAACCATTTTGAAACGATTACGCTTCAAAAACAAGATTCGGAATGATTTCACTGCTTCAATTTCCTTATAAATCCTCCTCCAAAACAGTGTGATTCGAGAAAGTAGATAAAATGACAGGCGTACATTTATAACTGCACATGCTGAGCACGATAAACATTTTATGTAAATATTAGTTCCATAACTGTGAGCTAAATCATCACACAGAGAAGGGAATCGGAAACACTATACTTTAACGATTCGACCAGAAAACGCTGAGAAAATAATGGACCGGACCTTCGCATAAGAATGGAAAAAGTGAAATATGAATGAGAAGGAATAAGACAGTCCATCACTGAATAATCGCAAGCAAAAACAATAAGCGATGAATGGCTCTCTAACAATCTGTTAGATGTTAAATTTACAAGCTGACGAGAAGGATGGACTATAACCACAGCCGTAATATGACGTAAATCTTGTATGAATTGCATCGGCCGTAGAGCCCATAAACTCTGTACAAAAGCAGACTAATAATTAACAGCTGCCAAAATACTCTTAAAATAGTGATATGGCTAAAGCTTGCCAGAAGGCAACTGTGACTTACTAACTATAGACGACTTCACGTTACAAGGATGAATATATCAAATATGGTTCATAAAGGGTACAGAATTTAACAGAACAGCCAACGAATCGACTAACACTCACTCTGCAGCTAACCAGGGGCATTAGAATACAGACTGAGCTAGCATGATGCGGTAAGTACTAAGGCATATGGGAAAGGAAGACATACAATAAGCGTACAGAAGATAAGTAGGCATTCGAACAGTTAACACCAGAAACCGAGTGGGTCAACCCTTATTCGAGCAGTAGAACTGATGACAAGAGAAGAGAGGCTTTGAAGAAGGGCCTCACCGTTTCTCAAGTTGAGCAATGCGAGCTTCCATGCTTGCTAAGCGTGCCAGCAATTCATTATATTCTTTCCTGGAGACCCATTCCGAATCAACGCTAGAAGACGTTGAGAAGGTTGTCGGATAATGCGTCAGAGGGGGCACTGATGGCTTGATAGCTGAAAATGGAGGATTGACAAGATGAAATAGAGAAGGGCATGGCGTACTTACTGGACGAATGTTCCTTCTTGTCCTCTAATTTGATTTCAGCAGGAGGAGGTCGGACGGGTACCACTTTTGCTGGTGGGGTAATTGGAGCAGGAGACACAGTCTAAATAGCCGAAAATGAAACCCATGGACTCTCAGCTTACCTCATAGTTCCAAAAATGTGTATCGAAAAGAAAGATGAAAAAAATTAGCATAATTCATGAACTAACATGTAATTCACGACTTGTCGAAAGAGTAGTAATAGGTGATGGTAACGACGGTCCCAATTGCGCTTGTAAAGGAACTTTTCTCTGGAAGTTCACTAGCCATCGGTTTAGAGGGGCTTTCAAGAAGATTGTCCATTGACTAAACAAATCACATGAATACTCAGTATCAACTAAAACACTACAGTAGAGAATGCAAGATTGACTTACACCTTTCTTCTTTATCAGCATCATACTTGCAGGTCGCTTTCCAGGAGGACGAGCTCGAGTTTTGGTTACGTGGCTTAGCGGTCTGACCACTTCATCAGACGCTTCATCAGATTCCACGCTACTCATAGGTCTGCTCGTCGCTACACCCTCAGAACCAGAAGTGACAATTACAGACTTCGTCAACTTCGACGACACTTGTCCCGGTTGTCCAACAATAAGATCCTGGAGCAGAGCATTGTATGTTAAAACATTTTGATACGTTTGTATAAGATCAAGCAAACTTCAAGTTATGAAGTCAACAAGCAGATGAGTACCGACTAAACAAGCCAGAAATTACCACCTATACCTACCATTACCCGAAAGACTACCAAAGAACCTCTTCTATGAAGTTTTCCTCTCAATTACAATTCACCTAGTTTGTACACACCTCGCAGTCATATGATTCCCATAACTTATGTCTACTTGGGGAACCAACCCGATGAATATACAAACCAAGACCAGAACAGGTTTACCAAAAGCACTTATTTTTTCAGCAGGTCTCTGTATTGTGTACAACACTTATGAACGAAACTGCAACAAGTTCAATGAACAAACTAATAGAAAATGCCACCATGAAAATTCAAGAGAAACTAGCCTGCATACAAAAAAAAACTAAAAATGTTGAACGTCTCACTTTTGAGATGCGGTTCCGAGCCGCTGCAAAAGCAGAACTTTGTTGCTTGACTTGTGAAGGTAATACTGGTGGTGTGGAGGGCACGTTGGTCGTGGAAGATGGAGGAGAAGAACCAGCACCGTTGATAGACGTTGAACTTTCCGACAACTTCTGCTTCAACGGCTTAGCTGGTACCGCAGGTGGTACCATTCCCGGAGGGTTCACCATAGGAGTTTTAGCGACAATTTTTGAGAGATGGGTGGGAGGAGGATGATAAATGGTCCCTGACTGAGTGGAAATAGGAACCTGCAAGAGAAAATATTAGAACATGCTTGTACCATTTACCACACATAAGAATTCAACTGGTTTGTACCTTGTACTGAGTCACTTCGCAGTTTACAGATAACCCTCTTAAATCTAAAGATAGCTATCATAAGAGTGCTGAGTAAAGGGGCAAAACTTCCACCCAGGCGAGATTTGTATCCCGATTCCTTGCTTTCCGGGCAATTGTGCTACCAGTCACACGACTGGGGCAAAGTTACATAACTGTGGCGTAGGTGTAACAGCAGTTATCGAATAAAAACAACTTTAAGGATGGTTTTTGAGCGAAAACTCCTCAAGGAAGTAAGTAGGAAATATCCCATTAAAACATTGTCAGAACAGCGGGTATATCAAAGTTCCTTGGGAAGACGCAACCAGCTTTCTTCACTAATAGTGGTGATGACAGCCGCTTTGTTTCAATTGTTGATAGTGACGAAAAATGATTTACAAATTATTTCGAAAGCACACCTGGACAAGCTCAACGAAGTTATCCGGGAACAGACCGCGTCGCCCATTGATTTCTCCCTCGAACCATCCCGCATCTCCACAATCCTTCCGAATAATTGTAACCAGTTGACCGATTCTCTCCTAGCTTCAATTCATCACTGTGCTGAGGTTCGTATTCGAACTTTACCCGTGCCATTTCTGGAACAAAATACCGAAGTTTTGCAATTCACGACGATAGTATGTTCGGATTATTAAAAAACACCTTTTACTGACTAGGAAGTAAAATACACAATAAAAGGTTAAATTTTGAAGTAATAATGGAAAGAAACATATGCTGAAGCGGACAGCGAACTAACTTCAAAAATATGCTGATCTTTTCTTGTGTATGTAGCGCGACATGAGATCACGCTCTCAACTCAGCCTTTTCTATATATGCGCAATCCCTGCTGTCCGAAGGCTGATCGTAGAGTGAACACAAATGAGGAATTTTTACCAGAAATTTCTCTACTATATACCTTCTAATCGGACTTTATCGCTATAGCACTAACAATTTCAC